CAAACCATTTATTTATATAATATATTTATTTTTAACCTAAAAAATACTAATAATAATAATAATAATATTCCCAATACTTTTCAACTTTTATTTCAAATGAAATTTAGTTCAACTTTCTCTCTCTTTCTCTCTCTCTCTCTCTCTCTCTCTCTCTCTTTATATTTCAATTACTCATTAACTTTAACTTTCAAAAATAAAAAATGTTTGACAGAAAAAAGCTAATAAAATAATTTTCAACTGATTTTTTTATTTGTTGGACTGATTTTGTTCACATAATTTACAAATATATATATATATATATATATACTGTATATATACACACACACAATATATTACACTGTATGTCATCAAGTATACAGTAATTTCCTTTATATATATATATATATATATATACAGTCATACATACACACACACCCATCCCCTGGAAATGGTGTGACCAGGAATTTCACACCAATATATATATATATTATTTTCAATGACCATTAAGTTTCACTTTTCAAATAAATAGTTTTTTTCAAACATCCCGTTATTTTTATTGGAAACATACAGACAGACACTAACTAACAAACAAGTGTTACACTTGAATATATACATTATTTTGACTACCAGTCCCCGATATTTTCACATTAACCCAACCATATATATATATATACTATATATAACCGTCAATACCTAACAAGCATACAACCCCCTATCCACCCCCCTCTCAAAAAAATGTTACTAAATTACTAAAACCATTAATAATAAATGACTGTCTATTTTATTGTGTATATAATTAATAATATATTTTTTCAAGTAATTAGATATCAATGGATATCAATGTATTAAACATTAATTGAAAAAAAAATAAATTTTTAAAAATATATATAACAAATAATAATATGTATAACTCCTAAATGCAAATAATTATCTAAAAAAATATATATTGTTTTTAAATAATATATATCAATATATATATATAAATTAAATAAACAATAAATTATTAATTGAATATTAATATTATTATTTTTAAATAAAAATATTGTTTAAATAAACTTTTAACTAATTTATATATAATTAACCATCTATACTAATTTAATTAAAACTAAACTTAATTAATTAATTGTGTATATAATTAAATGCTTAAATTACAGTTTTTTAAATTATTTGTTTTACTAAAACATAAATTTTCTTTACATTTCATAAAAAATATAATAAATAATTATATAGTTTTTTTCAACAAAAAAAATTAATTAGCATTAATTATAAATATTTATTGAAATAAAATATTATTTATAAAATTGAATACAAATTTTAATTAATGTTAACAAATGTTCAATTAATTATTATTATTATTATCTAACTTTATCTAAATTATAATAATACAGTTTTAAATATAATTATTAGTTTATAAAGTTATAGTAAGTTTAAGTTTAAATTATAAAGTTTAAGTTATTACCTAAAATTAAAAACATTAATTAACTATATATATATATATATACTAATATTTATTTTAATTAAATATTAATTTATAGATTATTGTAATAATTTTTAGTCTTTTTTTAATAAAAATAATTTTCTATTAAAAAATAAATAAATTATTTGAATTAAAATAATTACTATTCATTAATATTCAAATATATACAGTCTATATATATGTGTGTGTGTTTTGAATAGATAGTGAAACTAATTTAATAATTTATATAATAATAATAATAATATAATTATACTAATCTTAGTTATACTGTATATATATAATTATTTATTGCACATCATATTAAAAAAATAAAAATTTTAAATGCAAAACATAATAAATTTTGAAATATTTATGTCGTTATTATTATTATTATTATTTATGATGTCTTTAAAATATTTTTAATTTTGTTTTTTGTTGTTGAGTAAAACGGAAGTTGGCTATCAGTAAAAAACTAATTTAATATTATTAAATTTTATTTAAATATTTATACTATTTTATTATTATTATTATTTAATACTTTCTACATATAAAAAATAAAATAATAATAATAATAATAATACAAAATGTGACATTTAATGATAATTAGATTAATTTTTTAGTATATTTTATTTTATTTAAATTTCATATCAATTTAGATGCCATTCTCTAACAAAATAAAATTTTATTAGTTTTTTTTTTAATAATTTAAAAAATTTCAATTTTATTTTAATTACATTTAGTATATGACACATGTGACAGTAGTAATAATAATAATAATAAAACTTTTGAAAATACATTATACAAGTAATTATTATAATTACAATATTGAATGATATAATAAACAAAAAACAAAACATTATTTTGTTTTGTTTTTTTTGAAAGATATCAAAATAGATATATTATATTAATAGTAAAAGTGAAAGTTTTTATTATTATAATAATTATAACAATAAGTTAGTACTATATTATTATTATTATTATTATTATTATTGAGTTCATCAAACTTGATAATCACTAATTAATATTCAAAACTTTATTGTTGTTGTATTTTTATTAAAAGTTAATATAAATATTATATTATAAATTATTTATATAATAAATACATTATAACAACAACAATAATTTAATTTATTAATAGATAATTGAGTCAAATAAATCAAAACAAATTTTTACTTTAAATATTCAATAGTTAATATCAAAATTTTTTTTATATAATTTTAATTAATAAATACTTTTTAAAATAAAAATTTTATTTCATGTACCAGTA